AATCATTGTATTATGTATTAGTATTACATAGATGCTAATCACATTAAGGCAAATAATACAAACAGTAATTTTTTTGACATACAGCGTACTGCGTAGGACGCTATTAGCCTTCTATTACTACGTTATGCATTCATTGATATTTCTGTATAGTAATATTTTTTTGATAAACATAATAAGTTGTTTTTTTTTTCAAAAATTACTAAGTATTGTAATTTTAATTTTTCTAGGACCAGATGTATGTATGTAAGTTATGTAAGTTACTTAAAATGTCCACTTAATTAAAACTTTTTATCCAACCAAAAGACTTTTGCATTTTTGCTTTAGGATATTTCGATACACATATCATAATCAATAACGCATTTAAATATAAATATAATATCAAGAGTGAAAAATGAATTTGTCAAACAGGATTATTTTTAAAATTATACTTTTTGAAAAATGATTATAAATTAAGCTTTGTAGTTTCAGCAAAATCCACACGATAGCTACCTGAAACAAATGTAAACACGAGTAAAACCCAAATAATAATGAGGGTCAAAAAAGGGTCCCGTGTGGTTACTTTACATTTTTTTTAACCATTTCGATAAACCTTTGTAAGCATTTTTCCCTAAACCGTCTTGATTATATGTCGTATACTTAAAAATAACACGCAAACGAATCTAGAAAAAAATTCATCATGCGCACAATGTCATGTCAAGAGTTACGATAACGGTTAAATGTAAGAGCTAGAGAATATTTGTTTTCTGGTAACATTTTTCCTCTTATTCAAACAATGAGGTAAAACGATGAAAGAAAAATAATCAACACTTTTAATTAGTTTTAAGAGCTGTTTAATATTTAAAATAATTTTATTTTCATTTCCATAAAGTCTAAACGATGGTGGACCAATTAATCAAAAATCGTTACCATTATAAAATCCGACCCCACTGATGTGACATTATAATAACTATAACGTCACCAGGGGAATATTTGAATATTTTAGTGACTGTTTAAGACGAGATTGTTTTTTTTTTAATTCACTTACAATTTTTTCTCCAACCACGAGTAATACCTAATAGTTTTGCTTTTAACCAAAATAACATGGCCACCAATGATTTCGATTCAACTCTAAGCGTAGGTACTCGTCGAGCAGCTGGTTGGCAGAATAGAAGCAAGTGCAATCGAAAAAGAAGAAACGACAGACATTATTCAAATTTTAAACCGAAAGGAATCCGTTTAGGAAGTCGCCTCGGAGCCACCCTTCTGGGCGAGATGGTCGAAACGGTGTGCAGTAAAATAACATCTGAGGTGGAGTGTGGTCACCCGGCCAGGATGCAATTTTGGCTATAAATACGACAGAACAGGCACCGGCAGCAGATGAACTAGAGAAGACGGAAGAGTGGGGGAAGAGAATAAACTGGACAGGCAGAATGAGCCGGAAGCAATGACTAGTAGACCTCCATGTAGACGATCCCTACGTAGAAGGAAGTAAGAAGGGCAACCCGTGTACCAAACCTAACCTAACCTAACCTGGGATCTTGATTGTTGGCATCGCTGGTCCGGCTACTTCGGTCACCCGAGAAGAGAAATTTCAATCGAAATTCACTAATGTTTGTTTGTAATTTTCAGTAAAATTGTTCTTATTTGTGTTGTATTAAAAAGCAAAAAAAAAAAATACTTGGGAATATTTGGGTAATAATGCATTGCAAACACGATGAAAAATTACCTCAGTGAAATTTAAATATGAACTAATTATAATATAATTTCGTAATAAAAAATTTTTATTGATTTGATTTATTAAGTTAATTTTCATCGTTGCATGTATATTTAATATCGTTTGTATTGTGTTATAGCATGTACCATACTACCATGATAATATGTTAATATTACTATAGTTGGTCGCTGTTGTATGTTATTTTACTGATTTCATTTCGCACTTCATTATTTATTTATTTATTTGTTTAAACATATGCCATATTTAATATACATGTGAATTGACGCCGTGTGACTTTTTTTTTAAGCATGATAAATGTGTTTAAACATAACAGGAAAGTTGAATAACTGTGTAGTCGAACTAACAAGATCTCGAACTTAATTAATTGGGAAAACTCAACACAAAACATTTATCATTTGACAAGTGCATACCACGTGTTAAAAGGGAAAATTAGGAGAAAGACATGATGTGCTACTTTTAGTAAAGAAGATTATCCATACGAATATTAATACAGGAGAATTGCTTGTGAAATCGTTCAACTAAATACACAATTCAAACTCCAAATAAATATAAGTCACGTCGATTTACTTCAAAAATATTATTTCATATTGTGTTTAATATAATGTGTCGCGTTAATGTGGAATTGAATACTCTTGAAAATAAAAGGACAATCAATACATAGAAGGTATAAAAACTAAAAAGCGCTTATGCATAAAAAAAACTATATGCACACGGTAGGTTTTGAATTTTGAGACAGTTCACCGAGCAAAGCGAAAACGATTGGATATCATCCATGACCTTTCAGATAACGTCATGAATTGAATGTAGAAACAATGAATTGTGTAGCATAAAGGTCATATTATTATTTACTGCAGAAAGTTATTCGATTTGAAAAACGATTTTAGACGCATAGGTACACTGACACACTTTTAATTGACATTTGATAGGCTGATATCATTTTTAAGTTAAATCCGTAGACAGTAAAATTATCGCAATGCAATGATTATGCTCATATTTTGATGTTTTTTGTATCATTTATTTATACATTTTTGCTTCTGCTCGACAATTACAGAAATTTCACATATAAATAGAAACATAATATGATATTGCTTTAAAAACCATTTGAAAAAGAATCGTTGTCACAACATTATGAGTTTAATGCGAATTGGTATCTACTAACCACCATGTAAATAAAAGTTTACGGTAGGTACCAACTAAAACACGGTGGGTTATGACCCAAACACCGCTCTAATCTTCTTCAGTGAAAAGAACTTAAGTTTAAATCGTCCTGTGTATTTCAATAATAAATACGGGGCGAAATCGACCTAAATTGTTTGGTAAACTGTAGAGTAAATGAGAATTCCTACATAAATTTGCATTGCTCTGAATTCGAAACTAAAGCCTATAAAGCCTATTGAAACACTTTTATTTTGTTGTATTTTACAGTTGGAAGCTTCTATAAATGCAGTGAAAGTATAACAATATTTTAATATGATTTTGTATTTACAGTGATCCGTCTTAAAAACTGTCTCTACCCGCAAAACACTATTACAGATAAATTCTATTACAATGTACGAAAAATAAATTGTCGAAAAGATTTTAATTGTTAATAGTATGGCATAAGTCTTCATAGTCGATATTTTGATGGACTTCGTCAACATTATTTTGAGCTTCAAATGCTATTGAAAAAAAATGTGACCATGCATTTTGGATGTATTTTAAAGGTTCAATAAAAACTTATAAATAATATCAAATTCAGTTTTCAATCTTTTCAATTTAAATAATAAAAAAAAAACAAATTTAACGAATAAAAAAACCCAAAACAATTAGAATATTTCAGTGATTATTCAATATTACATTAAATATACGTTAATAGGTATAACATTTTTAGTAACATATATTTTGATATAGGTATAAATATTTTTTTAAATCAGCATTATTTAAAACGAACAGATTTAAGTTTTATGAAGTCTCAAAATCCATTTGTGCAATTTAAAACGTACATTTTCAAATTGTATGTCAAACTGTTAGTAATTTCAACATAGTTTGAGTATCCAATGTCAATAATTTGATCTTCAAACGTTAATATAAAATTAATGCAGATTTACACTAACATTTTTTAATTCCTGTACGAACAACTCATCAATTATTTTGCATAAGTATTGTAAGCTAAGTTATAAAAATTAAAAGGCTAATAAAATTGTAACTACAAACTAATTTTCATGAAATCTGAATTTCAAGTAGGTATATAAATATAATAAAACATTTGTATTATTTTTGCTTATTTTATTAAATTTAATTCGTGAAATCGTCAACACTGTTAATCAATGCTGCTTGTCTTATAGATCAACTGAAAATCCTTATCTGACCTTTCAGGCATTTGACTCTTAAATATATTCTACCCTCAATCGCTCTGTTCCGAATACTTATAAATAATTAATATTACATAACATTCATTTTTGAGTAGAAAGTAGATTAATACGTTATGCTGTACTTGAATATTTAAATAAAAATGTCCATGGCAGTGGCGTTGCCATGGTGGGTAGGTTAGGTTAGGGGCGATTCTAGTTAAACCAACTCTGTGTACACCCGAGTACCTTGTCTCGATGCTGCGGTCCTGGCTGTCAGAGCGCGTATTATTGGTGGACGACGAGGGATATTCCAGACCAGTGACTTGTGGTGTTCTCCAGGGCTCTGTCCTCGGGCCAATCCTCTGGAATGCTATCTATGACGACCTTTTGACGATGCCAGTGCCAGTAGGTGTTCATCTGGTTGGGTTTGCTGATGATCTAGCTGTTGTTGGTGTGGCGAGAACGGGACCTTTACTAGAAGGTTTAATCAACCCTGTTCTTGAGCAGGTCGATGGATGGATGTCAAGCAGAGGCCTTCAGCTCGGCCATCAAAAGAGCGAGGTCGTAATGCTGACTAGGAGATGGGCATATGCACCCCCAAACCTATCGATAGGTGGACACCCAATAGCGATAAATAAGCAGCTGCGGTACCTCGGGGTCATTCTGGACCAAAGGCTGACTTTTGCAAAACATGTGGACACGGTTGCCAAGAAAGCCTCACTCTCTGCACTCGCTTTAGCTAGGCTTATGCCCAACATAAGCGGTCCAAGCCAATGGAAGAGGAGGCTTCTCTGTTCGGTGGTAGAAAGCCAGCTGTTGTATGCCGCTCCTGTGTGGATTAAGATTAACCCTGTATCAGCCTCCGCTAGGACCAGGGCTAATCTCATACGACCGCTCTAAGGGTTATCCGGACTTACCGGACGGTGTCCGACGAGGCTTCGCTGTTGTTAGCCGCCATGCCTCCAGCTGATCTCTTAGGGGAAGAGAGACTAAGAATTAGGGTCTGAACGCACGCTCTAGCACTTCCCACGGATCCACCCCTCCCCCCTTCCAAGGATACTATCAAGAGAGAAGAAAAGAGGATAACGGTCGCTCAGTGGCAAGTTAGATGGTCTTTCAAGACTAAAGCATCGTGGACACGGCTAGCGATCCCGGACATCGGTAGGTGGCTGGGGAGAACAGTCCCGGAGGTGCCTCTATCGTATCACATGACCCAGGCACTGACGGGCCATGGTTGCTTCCAGTATTACCTACAGCGGATGGGTAGGGCTGGCAGCGCGTGCTGCCATCACTGCAACAGTGACGCAGACACCGTTAACCATACCCTTTTTGAGTGCCAGTATTGGAGCGGTCTAAGGGAGGATCTTGAAGGGCGCCTAGGCCACCTCCCAGCTGTCGAGGACATGTCGGCCATTCTCTGCGGCCCTGCCTTCGAGGACTTGCCGTTGGATCACTCAGTGAGGGCCGATGTTCTTTACAACGCGGAGGAGACGTTCAGGATCTTTTACAAGATGGTTGAAGAGATCCTGACTCTCAAAGAAGAGGAAGAGAGGGCCAGACAGGCGGATGAAGCCTAGCGGACAGGCTATGAAGGAGGACCGCAGACAGAAGGGCAACCTGGAACGTGATGTCAAGGGCGGCGGGCTCCGGTCGGCGGCTCAACAAAGACTATTCGATAATAATGTACTCATGTCTGTAATTATTCATTATTTTTGTGCATAATAAACGATGGCGACGCTGTCGAAGTAATGCGCAAGCAGTCCCGGCAGCGTCGTCGATAACAAGAAAAAAAAAGGGGGGCGATTCTAGTTAAACCAACTCTGTGTAAACACATTATCGCCCCCCTCCCCCCTATGAAAAATCTGGATAAGCCATGAGCTCATGTTTTATATTCATTATTTCAGTATAAAAACATTTTCAGTAAGTAAGGAATTATAAAAATTACATATCAAAAACCTAATTGTGTAATGTATTTACGTTCTAGTTCATGAAAACTTAACATCCCAACTTTAAAAACATAGAACTCAAGACACCGTGTTATGACATAACTGTAATTATATAATATAAGTAATTCTTAACCCTAGGCACTTATGCCTACAATAGTCACCGTAAATAGTCGTGATAGCAAATTAATCATAATTATTTTAGGTTTTTTAAACTGAATATATATTATGTTAATAATTATTTAGTTTGTAGATGCTTTTTAAATTTAATGTTTTTAAAAATTTGTAATCAAATATATCTACTATACCTACCATATAAATATAAGTTAGTAAAATGTGTAATTTCAACACAAAAAAAACGCATCTTTAATATTACAACAATAATAAGTCGTACTTTTAACAAAGGTATTCATTTTCATTCGATTTTTAAAAACTGTTGAAGTCTATCGTCGTGAATTCATAGCACCTCAGAGGTTGAAATTTGGAAGTCAGTTACATATACTTATCTCTCTAATATTGAATTAATTCATTATTTACAGAAGAGCTTTTCTTGTATCAGCTAAGAACTTTTTCAGTCGGTAAAAATGACATGTAACCTTATTCAAAATTTAATTTAAATGTATCTCGAAGAAATCATTTTCGATTTCCTCGGTAGTTATGGAAAGTCACATCAATCTGAGAAAAATTTTGAAGTAATGATAGAGCGCTTGGTTGTAATAGTTCTACTGAGAATGGTTTTTCGAATGAGATGAAGATTCGCCATTGCTTTTGTTATGCACTGTATAATACCTAATAATAAATACACGACTACCGTATACCAAAATTGAAGGAGCAGGCGAATTCTATGCATACAGTCACTGATCATTTGTATTCTGTCAGTCGTTAGATGTTCTTAACTTTATATAAATTAAAAAATACATTCAATCTAACCTAAAAGTAGTAAAACATTAAATATATAGAATATGAATGAGCCAACAAATTATTTCAAAATGAAATTATAAATAATAATATGTTCAAATTCTCGTATTGTACAGTATACTACAGTATAGAATATAAATATAAATAATAAATAAACAAAAATAATAATTTAAAGTAAATTTAAAATTAAATTTAAATTTATTTAATTTCTTAGGGACCCAAAAAAACATACTTTAATTTTGTTCTTTTTTGATCATTATTACGGCATAATATTATTATCTATTTATGTTCATTTTAACGTTTATGTATGATTATAATTTATAAAAGTTGATCGATATGGCTATATTATTTATTGTAAAATTTACAAAATAATTATATATTTATTATATTATACTCATATTATGATAAATTTACAGCAGTGTCATTTGTTATTGCTCTTTGTGTGACGTATGTGTTTAAAAATGTACAAACCGTAATTTAAGCGTCTCTCAATTTTTTGAACAATTTGTATAATACTGGGTGATTCTTTTATCATTGAAAAAAATATAAATGTTTTTGAAAAAAAAATGTTCACATGGTTTCTAGTCGTTAAAACAACATTTAAAAAAAAATATTTTTTTAAGTGTTTTACTATTTTTGAATGACAAAATACAGTTAATATTTCATTTTCCAAGACAGAATAATTATCGAAGTGTTTCAATACGTAAAAATTGAACTAAGGACTAATAGTTTATGAGTTATAAGTATTTAAACTTTAGATGAGCGGAGTGGAGTGGGACACAGTGTTGATTCACTTCTCCACTCATCAAAACTTATAAATCATAAACTACTCATCGGCTGTTCGATTTTTTAATGAAAAAATTCTTTGAACAATTAGTGTTCTACGTCAAATGAATTACACAGTAGGTACATCATTCGTGAGGTACAGATTCGATTAAACATGTTATTAACATTATTCGGATACTCTGCTACTATTATCATTACTAGGGTTCGGGACTTCTTGCATTTGCATGTATTTTTGTAGTGGTCGTAGTCTATTCTAAGTGAGTTATAAATGTGTTTTATGAAATGACGAAATTAAATACTAAGTTTGAATTTGCATATTTTTGCATATTTCGTCATATTTTAAGAAAAGCACATATTTGTGAAATTTTTAACATATTTGGGCATATTTCACATTTTTATATTTTTATAAATGTAAAATTGTCGGAAAAAATCATGATTGGATGGTCGTAGTCTTTCGTATCTAAAACGTACGTCTGTTTACGATGATAGTCTCTTTATCGCTTAATAATCAACCTTTTTATCGACAATATCGACAATTGTATATTTGTGGTAAAACCTTATGAATCCTGGGTTGATACAGATGGAGATGAGTAACCCGTGTAAAAAACATTTTTATTATATTAATACCTACCTAATTTTTAAATTTTCATTTTTATAATAATAATTTACAATATACCTTATGCGTTTTTTAAAAACAAAATAAAAAATTAGCTGCATATTTTAAAGTATATTTTGACGATTTTGACTGCATATTTCCATGCATATTTCGATAACCTTAAGTGCAAAAAGTCCCGAACCCTAATCATAACGTTAAAAACATCATAGTGTGCGTACCTGCTAGCCATGAAATCAATGTGATTAAACGGGTCTTGTACTCTTGTCGTTACAACCGATTGACGGACAGGTGAAAATCCAGGAACCCACGACACATCCTACAATAATATGAGCGTATAAAATATATATTTTGTAATATTATATTATATACATATTATATCGAATTACTATTGATAAATAATATTTAAACCTATACGTTTAGATGAGAACGAAAAAAATCATCAATATTATAATAAAGAAAACCTCTTTCTGTCAAGTGGTAGGCGTTCAACGTTCGGTCCGACAGACATATATTTTTTTCCTTATTATGATGTGTACCCACCTTATCTTGTAGATGCGATCAATAACATATTCACTGGTAACACACATAGGTACATTTGTGTAAAATCTTTTTGGACGATATTGCAAATGTTATGGTGTTTACTGGAATCAGGTTTATATATGCTGATTGACCAAGTATTATCAAACCTATTCCACTGCAATGTAGCCTACCCATCTGCTTCATAATTTACACTTAAAAAAACAATAATAATATTTTTTCTTTGAGTAAAAAAAATTTTGTTTTTCCACAAGATGTACATCATAAAATGCTTTAAAATTAAAAAATCCCAGTATCTGGATACGATATGTTCATTATTGTGCATAAATACTTTGAAATTTCAAAATTTTAAAAAATGTATTAAATTAACCCATAGATATCACATATAACTATTCATATAAATGGAAAAAAATCAAGCTGAAAAGTCATTGAAACATTCATAAATTGTTTTAAGTTTAAAAAATGTAAATACTCTTAAACATGTAAAATATATGTAAATATTTATTAAGTGTTTTACGGTGTGGATTTGACAACTATAGAACTTAATTTTTCAATACTTATATCATCAAATAACATACGAACTATTAGTTCATTTGTTACAATGACACAAGATTTCAACGTAAGTAATTAAAATATTTTGGTTACGAACAGTTCATTTTGAAATTAACTTTATATACTTTTATCTGATTTTCAAGAAACCACTACCTACTTATAATGTAATAAATAAGCATTTTTATTTTCCGACTTTTAGTAAAATTGTATGCAATTATATAGCGTTTGCAAAAATCGTTGTACTGAAGGACGCAAAACACGGGAAAGTTTTTAATTATTTCATTGACTTCATAAATCTAGCTGTACGTGTATTATACAAATATTTAACCACTCACTCATCGAATAATTGTATCAAACTAATCAACCTCTTTTGTGTTGGATTTAATTGAGTGCTTTTTTGAAAAAAAGTTAAAAATACAATAAAAAATAAAACTTTTTCTTATGCAAATATACAATTCTCCTGCCAGACGAAAACGCTGACAACATGTTTTGAGTCACTTATTTATGTGTTTTTATTAAAAAATATACATACATGCTATTAGCTATTATATACATATACAATGTACATATATTATATTCATTTAATTTATTATATACATTCATAAAATTTGTATAGCATATTGTTCAATTCGTAAATAAATGTACACATCCGAGTTTCTGCTGCATACATAATTCTTGGTAATTCACTTGTTTTTTGTGAGCATTAATTTTGAATGCAATCAACTCTAACAATCAGATCACGTATATCTGTCGAATTATTGTTATTGCTCATCATCAGACGTGTGCGTGTTTAATGCACTAATGCTTGTACGTATTGTATGGTTATAAATACAGATGGAGAGTGATGGAGAGAGGGGAAGAGATCATAATTTCATCACGCAATACACACATCCAAGTTATTTTAATAAAAAAAATACCTAGCTGTGTCATTGCATTTCGATATTATATTTATCATTTTATTTAAAATTTAATTTAATTACGATGTATGGTCACCCAAAATTTGAACCGAGTAATATAATATTTTCATCATTATTTACATACAATAAACAGCGAAATTACATCGAATTTTATAATTTGAGTAGATTTAGGTACAATAATAACAATGAATAACAATGGTTATTTTATTTAATTTTTAAGTTGTTCACTGTATTTTTTTTTTATTATTATTTATTTACCTTGTATACCTACGTATATTATTATGATGTACTAAAAACCTTTATGTATC